CCTTAATTCGAACTAGCTAGTTCGAATTAAGGGCTGTGTAGACCCTTAATTCGAACTAGCTAGTTCGAATTAAGGGCTGTGTAGACCCTTAATTCGAACTAGCTAGTTCGAATTAAGGGCTGTGTAGACCCTTAATTCGAACTAGCTAGTTCGAATTAAGGGCTGTGTAGACCCTTAATTCGAACTAGCTAGTTCGAATTAAGGGCTGTGTAGACCCTTAATTCGAACTAGCTAGTTCGAATTAAGGGCTGTGTAGACCCTTAATTCGAACTAGCTAGTTCGAATTAAGGGCTGTGTAGACCCTTAATTCGAACTAGCTAGTTCGAATTAAGGGCTGTGTAGACCCTTAATTCGAACTAGCTAGTTCGAATTAAGGGCTGTGTAGACCCTTAATTCGAACTAGCTAGTTCGAATTAAGGGCTGTGTAGACCCTTAATTCGAACTAGCTAGTTCGAATTAAGGGCTGTGTAGACCCTTAATTCGAACTAGTTTTTAGTTCTAGACGCGTTAGTTCGAATTAGCGCTGTAGTGTAGACATACCCTAAGTCGCTTAGGTTCTGCCACGCTAAGTCCCATTTCTAAAAGTGACTTAGGCACTGCCCCCATGGACCTGCAATCAGATTTAGGCTTTTAGGACTAGATCCACCAAGAGATGTAGATGCCTCGCTGCCACATTAGGTGCCTAGGTCCAAAATAGAACTCCTCAAAATCTCGGCTAAACCGGTGCCTCCAGCTCCGCCGGTAAAGTCCCCTGCCTTTCTGCCAGTGGGTTTGTGTAAAGCCGCCTGAGTCCTGATGCCGGCGGGGCGGGAGAGGGGTGGTGTGGCTGTGCTTTAAGAGAACAAACAGACCCTTTCAGGGTGTGGGAGCTGAGAGTGGGAAGGAGCAGCTGGTTCTAGTTAGATTGTGTTTACTAAGTGACTAGCAATGAATTAGTAAGATTAGTGGGTTACTTAACTGTAAAACTATGCAGCGGTGGTCCCCGTGATATCCATTCAAGGGCTCCTTCTCCTTGATTTCTTAGCCTGATTTCCTGATTTAGGTGACTAACTCATGCAAAGAGCCACAGCTGTGCTCTCCAGCCCCAGGGTCCAAGCTAAATATGAGTCAACAGTGTGACACTGTTGCAAAAAAAGCAAATGTGATTCTGGAATTCATAAACAGGAGTGTTGTGAGCAAGACATGAGAAGTCATTCTTCTGCTCTATTCTGCACGGATTAGGCCTCAGTTGGAGTATTGTGTCCAGTTCTGGGCCCACATTTCAAGAAAGATGTGGGGGAATTGTAGAAGGTCCAGAGAAGAGCAATACACATTATTAAAGGTCCAGAAAACATGAGCTATGAGGCAAGGCTAAAGGAATTGGGTTTGTTTAGTTTGGAAAAGAGAAGGCTGAGAGAGGCATGATAGCGGTTTTCAGGTATCTAAAAGGGTGTCACAGAGGTGGAGGGGGGAAATTGTTCTCCTTGGCCTCGGAGGCTAGGACAAGAAGCAATGGGCTTAAACTGCAGCAAGGGAGGTTTAGGTTGGACATTAGGAAAAAACTTCCTGTCGGGGTGGTTAAACACTGAAATAAATTGCCTAGGGAGGTTGTGGAATTTCCATCACTGGAGATATTTAAGAGCAGGTTGGACAGACATCTATCAGGGATGATACAGACCTTGCTTAGTCCTGCCAGGAGGGCAGGGGACTGGACTTGATGATCTCTGGAGGTCCCTTCCAGATCTGGTATTTGATGATTCTATGATTCCAGCTTGGGGAGACGTACCCAAACAGAAGGGCAGCTACAACACAAGGGGCTCTTGCCACCGGCACATGATCCCATCCAAGACCAGAGGTTTGTACATGGCTAGTCCCTCCCACCATTCACACTGCTGTGGCCACACGTGTGTTTTTAGTGCACTCATGTGCTGAGAGCTTGCATAGGTCTGGCTCTTCTAGCTTCCAGCTCTAGTGTGGACATACGCTACACCCAGACCAATAGGAGGTGCCTGAGTCCTTCTGAGGGGCGGGACTTAGGCCACATCCCTCTCCTCAGCATTTCCTACTGGCTGTTTATGGCAGCTCCCCACTCAGCATGCTGGCTCCTGGGAATCTCATCGATACATGCCCAGCAATCTCCATGCATTGTATAGAGAGCACATAACTCAGCCCTGACGATTCCACTGGGCAAAATACAGGGCGTCAGTCTAACCCCTGTATGGAGCAAGCCCTGAGTACCTAAGTCTCTTGTGAAATTGAGTCATAGGCTTCTAAGTCACTAAGGGTGCGTCTGGACAGCGGCGCTGTTTCGGAATACATCCGGTATCCTGAAATAGCTTTTCCGCGTCTTTTAAACAAGCCTGTTATTTTGAAATAGCTTTTGAAATAATGGGCTCACTATTCTGATGTCCCTGTAAACCTCGTTTCATGATGATTAAGGGATTTTTTGAAATAGCGCTCTATTTCAAAATATGGCTTTGTGTAGACAGCACCAAACTTTGAAATAAGCTGTTTCGAAATGCACTCAAAATAAGCTACACAATTTGCATAGCTCAAATTGCATAGCTTATTTCGAGCTACAAGTGCAGTGTAGACACACTGTAGATGTGTCGACACATTGTTGATGTACCTAAGGGTACATCTGGAGAGCAGCACTATTTCAGGATACTTCCGGTATCCTGAAATAGCTATTCTGCATGTGAAGAAGTGGGCTGTGCCCTCGAAAGCTCATGATCCCATCTACATGTTTCATTAGTCTATAAAGTGCTACCAGACCATTTGTTGTTTTTTTCTGTAACAGACTAACTTGGCTACCCCCTGAAGCTCCTAAGCAAGCCCGTTATTTTGGAATATAACGGGCTTGCTATTCCAACGTCCCTGTAAACCTTGTTCCACGAGAAACAAAAGACAGGACTATGCAGCACTTTACAGACTAACAAGATGGTTTATTAGGTGATGAGCTTTCATGGGCTAGACCCAGTTCCTCAGATCAAATTGTGGAAGAAAATTGGCATGACCATATATCCCAAAGGGATACAATCAAAAAGAGTGAACACATATAAAATTGGCAAATCATCCTGAGGTTCTTACCAACAACCACAGGACATACCACACTAATACCAACCCTGGAACTTTCCCTTGCAACAAACCCCGTTGACAGCTTTGTCCACATATTTACTCTGCTGACACCGTCATTGGACCTAACCATGTCAGTTATAAGACCAAGAACACATATTCCCGTTCATTCAGAATATAATTTATGCCATCATGTGCCAACAGTGTCCGTCTGCTATGTATGTTGGACAAACTTCTCAGACACTTCGCCAAAGAATCAATGCCCACAAAACAGACATCAGACAGTTTCACAAAGAAAAAACAGATTCTTGCCATTTCAGCCAGACTGGGCATTGTCTCAACGACCTCACTACATGCATCCTGCTTCAAAGAGTCTTTAACACCACACTAGAAAGGGAAGCCTCAGAATTGTCATTCATGTTTAAATTTGACACTTTACGAATGGGCCGTAACAAAGATGCTAATTATCGTACCCATTACAGAGATAGCTTCCCCAGTTATCACCCCTAATATCATTATCTCATAGACACTAACCTCCCCCCCCTTACCCTCCCTCTGTTCTAAAATCTGATTTGTCAATTTTATGTGTTCACTTTTTTTGATTGTATCCCTTTGGTATATATGGTCATGCCAATTTCTTCCACAATTTGATCTGAGGAAGTGAGGCTGGCCCACGAAAGCTCATCACCTAATAAACCATCTTGTTAGTCTTTAAAGTGCTGCATAGTCCTGTCTTTTGTTTCAGCAAGACCAGACTAACACGGCTACATCTCTATTATTATTCCACAAGGATTAAGGGACATTTTGGAATAGCGCTTTTTCGAAATGTGGCGTTGTGTAGCTAGCACCAAATGACGAAATAAGCTATTTTGAAATTAACTTGAAATAAGCTATGCAATTTGCATAGCTCACATTGTGTAGCTTATTTCGAGATAAGGGTGCATTGTAGACCTGTGAAAATTGTATCCAATTCCTGTCCTCCTCTTTGCTCTGTATTGAATTCCCAATTCATGGCTTTCCTTATTAATCCCAACCAGTGGGGCTGATAAAGAGCTGTATGATCCCTGGAACTTTGCTGTGTATTTGCTTTACATGCCTGCATGTGTGTGCAAGTGCCATGGTTGTCTAAGCAACAGCACATTCAACACAAACCCATGTAATAACTACGGCTTTACAGACAACCAATGGGCTGGAATGGGGTTGTTTTCCCTGAAGAGAAGACGTTTAACGGTGCTGTAAGAAGGTGCAGCTTCCTAAGTTGTCTGTTTCTCTGAATACAGCAGCTCTGTCATTGTCTCCTCTGTCTGCTTGTTAAAACCTCAAGTGGGTGGCTCATTAAATCCTACAGGAAAGGAAGCCAATTTAGTCATTAACGTTTGAAAAACCAAAAACACCCCCTTGCTGGCCCCTGCCTGAATCCAGCTCAAGGATGCTGCTGAAATGTGCATCCGTACCTGGATGTTCACTGCTTGACACCTGTTTTTACCTAAGTGTCAAATCTTGTGGGCCTTATCCCGGTTCTAGCCAGTCCATATGCAAGTTGGCCTGTTTACGGATGAGGTTAAAAAAAAAAACAGAATAAGGACCTCAAGATTTGACCCGTGGCAAAAAATATGTTCTGCTGCTGTTTGGAGCAGTTTGATTCAGGAGCCTGCTAACGAGCCTGATCTTGACAGCAATGAAATAATAATGAGGATGAGATGATAATATTGCCTATAAAGCTTCCCATTCATACCCCATCACACCCCAGAGGCGCTCAGCATTCGCACATCCAGATAAAATACAGACCTAACAAGCAACCTATAATACATCCTTTCAGCCATGAATGCAGGGGAGCTGAACCCCAGGTGCTCCTATCAGAGCAACTTTCCGTGTGCATTGTTAACGCGTTGGGCTAAGCTAACCTGAATTACATTGGGTCTCAGGGATAATTCCAGCGCCAGGAGCAGAGAGAGACGTATTGGGCTGACGCTCCTCTCTTGCATCGACCAAGTACTGTAACAGCTCCCTCTCTCTCTGCATCCTCTCTTTACTGGGAGGCAGCTCTGCATCATGCAGGCTGCTGGCTGAATGCAGCAGAGGAGCAGGCTGGAATTTTTGGCACTGGCTAGGAAGAAAAAAAAAAGAGGCAGCGTTTTCCTTTCCTGTATGGGCATGCAGATTCCAGGTAGGTTCCCATCTGATGAATTGAATACCGCATCCCCAATCAGCACAGATACTGGCTTTCTTCTGGATCATGCCTCATTCCTGTGGATGGGCATTAATAGGGGAAGCCGCCAATTTGGTACTATGTCATTGCTATTGCTTTGTGGTTTGGATTGAGGAGTTGGGTAATATTTGCACTTACTTTTTTGGGGGGGGGGGGG